CCAACAGATATATGCTCCAATCATGGATCAGATCAAAGGCTGACCTCCGCTTTGTAATGTCTAGCGTCAGAAGAGCTGAAACTTCCTGCATTTCTCGACTTTCGTCGCAATCTAATCCGTTCATGAGTGCACAATCCGCAGCCCCGCTGGGTATGTCCGTAGAAATAGTTCCACACTTTTTAGTTTGATAAGGGTAATCCGTGTGGAAATTTCCTTTTCGAAGACATGCAGCAGGATGATCCATGGGTAACTGGAGCAGAGGAGTGACTGCTCTTTTAGATTGGAATGATCACTCTCTGGTAAAGAAAAAGGGTGCAATCGTCTGGTGAGGTACATCACAACTGCGTTTGGGCAACACTGAACCGCTCAAAGCGTTGAACCCATGCTTCAACAACATCCAAGAACACCAGAATCAAAAACGCGCTTACCAAAGGTCGAATCAAATGATGAATGATAGTTCTGTACAAAAGGCGAAACAGTCAAGAAAACTTATGAACTGCAAACCTCTTTAGTGATTCGGGTGGAAATGGCGCTTTATGCTAATGCTATCACGTTTCCTTCCCATCCTTCTATACAAATCTGTACCGTTCTGGCTCTGTTCTATCAGTTTTATTTCTTACGACGACAAAACAATATTACCATTTTATAACATAAGAAAAACTGTTTAAAAAGAGACACACATATTACCTTGAGGGCAGAAAACTGGGAATCATCAGCGAAACTCTTTCGGCGTTTGATCAATGGATTTGGGCTACGCTTTTCGCTTTCTTCGCGGGAAATCGGTCGCTTCGCACAGAGCAAGTTTGGACTTGGCTGTCTGGTAAGCTGAAAATTTGGGATTCAACGTTAAGTCAAGCTCAACGAGCAACGAATCTCACCGCATTCATCTTCAGCGTGACCGGTTCCGACATTTCTACGTCGCACCACAGTGGTCCCTTCAGCAAGTTGTCGATCATGGGAATGTTCTGTAGAAACAGGAATGAGGGATAAACAATAGCGCAATGGTATCATGATTTTCTCACCTCTTTCTCAGATTCGAAGCAGTCGTCCGCGTAACCGTCGTCAGATATCATATCGGCCTACAACAGTAAATCAGTAAACAAGAACAACACTATAGGCCGCTTTCGACATACGCTTTGAGCATTGACCGGGCAGTGGCTGGAATAAGACCGGGATTTCATATTCAAAGCAGACGGTACGACAAAATTAATTCTTTCGCACAGCTGAAATAACAATTATAATAAAGTGATAGTCATCTGATATCTGAGAACAGGAGCAAAATCGTTGGCCCCATACCTTTACCTTGTTGCTGTCTGAATATCCACTGTCTTTTGAGTCTTCGTCGAGAAAAACAGAAGATGACGCTGGGCTGAGCATGCCTAAAAACAGACAGCATCAAAACCGAAGAGAAACACACCAGACTTAAGATTCTGCGTAAAGGGCAACGTCGCGAAGAGTATAAACCTGTTCGATTTTTATGCCATAATGAGAATGCGACAAATGTTTGATTTACTCATACTGCTTCATTGAAATAACGCATTATCAACGCCTCAGAAATTTACAGATACGGCTAAGGAACTCTTACTTAGTCTGATCAACGAAGCTTGAAGGAACAGGAAAACGAGGACAAGACTGACACAGGGCCAACACTATTTTCAAAAAGTTTACAACAAACAGTACAATAAGCAATGCATGCATTACAATTGGTCTCCTAAATATTTGAAAACATGGACAGAACGACAGCAGAAAACTCTTTATGTGAATTATTCTTTGTGCGTCAACCACGATGCAGATAAACTATCACAAAGTCCTGTGCATACCATAAAACGTGATTACTAACGAAGGCACGATTGGCATCCGCATATACAATAACATCATTTGGGTAACCAGCAGGCTTCTACTCCCCCCCTCCCCATTCCCACCATGAGAAACTCCGCAAAGTGAAAAGAAATACTGACATCTTTTGATTTCAACAAATAAAGTACCTGTAAGCCTATTCGATTTCGATGTAATGCTTCTATCCAAAAATTTCCGTCATGGGTGGATTTTGCTCATGCTGCTCCGTCGTGGTCGAGTTCACAAATCCTACCTGTGCAACAAGAATGGTATCTGTCCTTCTAAGACTCGCCAGAATCTTTGAAAATCTTCGGATAATTAAAATTTTGATCAGCACATTATTTTTGATGCCCCTTTTCATAGTCGTTGATTCGAAATCCGATTTCATGTTTATACCGACCCTCTGAATAACGTGTGAATTTAGACAACGCTATCAGTGAAATGTATTCTACAGCTGCCAGAATTTGAATATAGAACCCTCAGTTCAAAACGGAGGATGTGTAACTTTGAAAGTGTCTATCTCATGCAAATTTAACCGTCGCATTACAGAAGAAAATATAATAAAAGAACTTAAAAAATCTATGGTTTCAATTATCCAGGTCACTCCCCATTCACGGTATTTAGTGCAAGAAGAAGTGGAGAAAGTAGCGGAAGACAAAAATGAAGGCGAAAATAAATGAAAAGGTAGAGCGACGAAACAAAAAAATAATGTGATGAATAGAAATACAAGGACAAGAAAAGTAAGCAGAGCGATGAGAACAGAACTGAAATGAACGAGGATGAAAAAAATGAGGACGAAGAATGAAGAGTCAAGCGAAGTAAAAATAAGAGAAATAGAAATCAGGATATTAGGCAGAGGAACACGAATCAAATGAGAAGGAGCAGAAAGCGAAGAAGAGAAGGAAAGAAAGAAAAAAAGAAAAAGAAGTATGAGAACAGAACGTAAGATCATATGTTAGAAGGCAATGTTCAAAAGGGCCCAGAAAAGAAACCGAAAATTATGTAAATTCGATTTATCATGCAAATTTTCAAAATGAACAGCCGATACGCTGCTTTTATAAAAGGAACCTCTAACAATT